GAGAGGAAATTTGAGATAAAAAATTGTTTTAGTATAGAGAAAAAAAATTGGTAAGGTAGAGAGATAAAAATAGAGAGAAAAAAATATTGTTTTCTCCTAGGTATTTCCTATTTAGTTTTCTCCTAATTACAAGAGAGATTATTCGTCGTTATCTCCTTGTATTTAAAGAGATTGTTGTAATTCTCCTACTATAGTGAATCCCCTCATACTTGCCCGTGGACGTAGCCTATATTGGGTGAACCACGTAAAACACTTGTGTCCATTTTAGCTGTATTTTCTCAATTTCATTACTTGTTAGCCAAAGTCGACCCACGCGTTTTCTCCCCAACACTACAGACTGTTTAAATTTTTTTCTAGGACGTCGCGTAGTTCAATAACCAAAAAGCGAGGTTGCGTGGACATTTGTAAAAAGAGTCAATGAAGGGCTTACCAATTGTTAAGCTTCTACGGCATGGCCTGCTGCAGGAAGCGAAAATTGTTGAGAAACAAAAACATTTTCAAATGAAATAGAAGCACCACTGGCGGCAGAAGGTAGCATTGAATGACTTGTAGAAGAAGACCAGAAGCTGTTAGGGGTGTTTGTTTGAGTATAACAACAAAACAAGAAGGCAAAATCAATGGCTCTGCAACATAATATACAAGCTTTGAAGAAGAAGACGATGAATTCCACCATGCCAACACCTTCTTCCTATAATCCATTTTTCAAGTCTCTCTACCTCTGGGTAAAAAAACGTGGAGTGCCTAAGCTGATTGTTCCAATGGTCACTGACTTTAGGTCAATGTATTTGATTGAACACTAAATTTTAAAATGTCGAGTTTGGGTCACTGAATTTAGGTTAATGTCTTTGATTGAACATTAAATTTTAAAATGTCGAGTTTTGGTCATTGAACTTAGATCCATATCTTCGATTGCTCATTGAAGTCTAAAATATCGAGTTTTGGCCACTGAACTTTGAAAAATATTGTACGTTATTCACTGTAAACTCGATATTTTTTAAAGTTCAACCGTTATGCTTGTGAGTAATGTATGACATATTCCAAAATTCAGTGGTCAAAACTCGACACTTTAAATTTCAGTGAGCAATTTAAGATATGAACCTAAGTTCAGTGAGCAATCGAAGACATTGACCTAAGTTCGGTTATCAAAACTCGACATTTCAAACTTTAGTGACTAATAAAAAATATGGATCTAAGTTCAGTAACCAAAACTCGACATTTTTCAATGTTCAGCTGCCAAAACTCGACATTTTAAAATTCAGTGGCCAATCAAAGATATGGATATAAGTTCAGCTACCATTGAAACAATTAACTCGGAGTTTCCCGTCTCAAGTGGATTTGATTAGGATCTACTTGTATGAATTGTGAAAATATGAGGAGAGGAAGGGAAAATGGTGGAATTTGAAAATTTACCATTGCATATGAAGGAGGAGCCCAGCAGAATTTTGTCCAAGAGGAGGAAAATCTTCTAAGAAATTGTTTGATTGGGTACTTAAGACCATGTTTAACTAAGCTTAAAATGTTTTCTTTACAAATAAGTAAAATTTAAAATAAATTAATTTTTGTTGGTCAAAATTATAAATGAATAAGTTATTCATTTTAACTGTAAATAAAATTTATTCTAAAGTGAAAGAGTAAGACACTAAAGTCATCGAACTAAAGTTTTTTATCAGGAGTGTTGGGGTAAACATGATTTGTGAATAGAAAATTATATTTAATTCAATAATATCATTAAAATAAATAAATAAAGTTTATAACACAATCATTCGGAGAGTCGCGTTGAATACAATATCCTAAAATTACATTTGTCTCTTTTCGTGTGAGTACTAACAACTCAATATAACTTCAAAATAAACCTCTTATGCTCACAATGATTTTTTCTTTTACGTGCACATTCATAGGGAAAATAGCTATAAACCTTTAGTACAATTAAAGATACAACAAATATGTTTTAGGATCATGGCCAAATGTTCGAGTAAAGAAACAACAATAACCGTGTTTTAGTACATCACAGATTCTTCTTATTCCAGATCATGCATCATTCGGCGATGCCAAGTGTTTGGCTAGAAACATGAGAAACAATTTGTAAGAGTTACACTTCAAGATTGATTACAACACTAAATAGCAGTACAAATTCCTATGTTCTCCGACTTAAACGTGGAGCAAACACATTATGAATACTATAACTTACGAAACTGGTGTACATAAGGCTTTCAACATCGTGTATTAGTTACTCATATTTCATTTATATCACGAACTTGAATATTTAATCTTCTGAGCCAGATTGAATGAAGTATCATGTGAAAAACATCATATCTCTTGGGAGGGATATTAACCTCAAAATGCCTCCTTACAAGAATTCCTGCTCTCTGCATTTTTATGTACTGCTCTTGAGGTATGGCCGTCAAAATTTTCTTCAGATTAGGGATATCTTTCACTGCAACATCGACAGAGAATGTACTCCAATCCAACACATCACTGAATGGTTTGGCATAATGGTCTTTAAGGAGTACCGGAACGCATCCTGTATAAAGACCCTCTACCATTCTCGGGCTGGCTACTTCCCACCCACTAGGGCAAATGCAATACCTGCTCTTCCTAAACATGTCATAGTAGGACATGCTCTTCGGAAGGTACTCGTGTATCTGGACATCTGGATCCTTATTTTTCCATTCCTTCATTAGTATTTCCCGAATGTAGCCATGTATCCCTCCGGAGTAGAAAACTAAAATCGAGCGCTTGGACGGAGGTGGTCCTCCAATCAAGCCGTCCATATTACCTCCAGGGAGATATATTTCTGGCAACGACACATCTTTGGAGAGATTGAACCCTTCCGAGGTGTTTGCATTGCATAGAACTCGAATCGAGTTCTTGTACAGGTAAGGTACAGCATGTGAAATTGTTGGAGCCTGTCAATTAATTGGAAGACAGAAAATGTCAGATTTGTAGTTGCTACTTGCAAGCTAGCAAGAAAACAATCACAGGATATGCATACATTAGTGCCAATAGCTAAATGATTTACCTCCTGAAACAGTTTGGACATTGGAAAGGGACAGAAATTTCTTACCCAATCATGGCAAGCAAGCATGAAATGATCGTGTCCAAGGCTTCGATTCCAGTAAGGGTACTTTCCAGCAATATGATTCACATAGTCTACGGCTACATTTTGCAGAGGAGTCCATGCTCGGTTATGGAGCACATAAACATAGTGGGCTATTGATAGAACACTGATTGGAAGGAAATAAACATGGGCCTTTTCTGGATTTTTGGTACGAAATTTGCTGATCTCAATATGATTAATGAGAATACCCTCTATCCCTAGAATGCCCTCCATAGAACTGTAATGGAAAACAGGGGGTTCTCCATCCTCGTAGACATATATCTTAAACTTCTTCTCCATTTCCAAGTAGCTCCTGCAGTTATGTATAATTAGTGAGATTCAGAATAGAACGGTTGTGCTAGAGAACTCAATAGAGAATGCACAATGTCCTCCACGATTTTTCCATATTTACCAGACCTCGATTAATAGTTTGATGACATAATTCATGTAGAATCTTTTTTTTTATAACTTCACTTATTTCTATTAATAGAAATATAAACATTTAAAAAGAGTTGAGCTCTTGCTGATACCTTTGGAAGGCACTGGGGTTCAAATACATTGGACCTCGAGGGACATAATCAGGGTCATCAAATGTTTCATTTTTATGTCGAGCTTCTTTTATTGCTGATCTGGATTGCGCAAGACCAGCCTCGAGCTGTTCTAAATTGCTGTTCTTTTTCCCACCTGTCTGGCCCTCTTCATTCTCCAATACCTGTTTAATTTTGAAACCAGTAATCACGTCAAAGTCAAGAGGTAGAGTGGTGATTAATCTGCAGAATAATAGTCATTTTCTTAATTTTATGTACAATTCCCTGATATCCAGAATAATTACGATGCAAATTGATAGTAATGCGCTACAAAAAGATCGGTGCCTGTCGAATCTCAACATAATTGGCTATTTAAAGTCACTGATGAGAATCGAATTCCAGGATTCTAACATCGAAACGGAAGAGCATAACACATAAGAACTGAACAAATTCAACCACATATACAATCCAAAACCAACACTTAGAAGCCATAACAAATCGAGCAAAAAATCAGAAGCAAACAGAGCAAATACGCATATATATATATAATACAGTTGTTCAGTGTCAGTGTTAGTTATATGTCCACTAATTTGCCCCAGGAACGCTGCAACAGCTATTGAATTACCGAAAAACAAAAGTACAAGTTTCTGTACCTTTCTCGCACACCAAAACTCTAATAATTTTTTTTTTTCATCTATGCAGTGTCATATAAATGAGATCCCGTGTGTATGCATGTATAAACGTGAGAACGAAAGCAATTAGCAT